GTCATTAGTTACCTTAGTAGGGGACCAGTGGTGTCATTAGTTACCTTAGTAGGGGACCAGTGGTGTCATTAGTTACCTTAGTAGGGGACCAGTGGTGTCATTAGTTACCTTAGTAGGGGACCAGTGGTGTCATTAGTTACCTTAGTAGGGGACCAGTGGTGTCATTAGTTACCTTAGTAGGGGACCAGTGGTGTCATTAGTTACCTTAGTAGGGGACCAGTGGTGTCATTAGTTACCTTAGTAGGGGACCAGTGGTGTCATTAGTTACCTTAGTAGGGGACCAGTGGTGTCATTAGTTACCTTAGTAGGGGACCAGTGGTGTCATTAGTTACCTTAGTAGGGGACCAGTGGTGTCATTAGTTACCTTAGTAGGGGACCAGTGGTGTCATTAGTTACCTTAGTAGGGGACCAGTGGTGTCATTAGTTACCTTAGTAGGGGACCAGTGGTGTCATTAGTTACCTTAGTAGGGGACCAGTGGTGTCATTAGTTACCTTAGTAGGGGACCAGTGGTGTCATTAGTTACCTTAGTAGGGGACCAGTGGTGTCATTAGTTACCTTAGTAGGGGACCAGTGGTGTCATTAGTTACCTTAGTAGGGGACCAGTGGTGTCATTAGTTACCTTAGTAGGGGACCAGTGGTGTCATTAGTTACCTTAGTAGGGGACCAGTGGTGTCATTAGTTACCTTAGTAGGGGACCAGTGGTGTCATTAGTTACCTTAGTAGGGGACCAGTGGTGTCATTAGTTACCTTAGTAGGGGACCAGTGGTGTCATTAGTTACCTTAGTAGGGGACCAGTGGTGTCATTAGTTACCTTAGTAGGGGACCAGTGGTGTCATTAGTTACCTTAGTAGGGGACCAGTGGTGTCATTAGTTACCTTAGTAGGGGACCAGTGGTGTCATTAGTTACCTTAGTAGGGGACCAGTGGTGTCATTAGTTACCTTAGTAGGGGACCAGTGGTGTCATTAGTTACCTTAGTAGGGGACCAGTGGTGTCATTAGTTACCTTAGTAGGGGACCAGTGGTGTCATTAGTTACCTTAGTAGGGGACCAGTGGTGTCATTAGTTACCTTAGTAGGGGACCAGTGGTGTCATTAGTTACCTTAGTAGGGGACCAGTGGTGTCATTAGTTACCTTAGTAGGGGACCAGTGGTGTCATTAGTTACCTTAGTAGGGGACCAGTGGTGTCATTAGTTACCTTAGTAGGGGACCAGTGGTGTCATTAGTTACCTTAGTAGGGGACCAGTGGTGTCATTAGTTACCTTAGTAGGGGACCAGTGGTGTCATTAGTTACCTTAGTAGGGGACCAGTGGTGTCATTAGTTACCTTAGTAGGGGACCAGTGGTGTCATTAGTTACCTTAGTAGGGGACCAGTGGTGTCATTAGTTACCTTAGTAGGGGACCAGTGGTGTCATTAGTTACCTTAGTAGGGGACCAGTGGTGTCATTAGTTACCTTAGTAGGGGACCAGTGGTGTCATTAGTTACCTTAGTAGGGGACCAGTGGTGTCATTAGTTACCTTAGTAGGGGACCAGTGGTGTCATTAGTTACCTTAGTAGGGGACCAGTGGTGTCATTAGTTACCTTAGTAGGGGACCAGTGGTGTCATTAGTTACCTTAGTAGGGGACCAGTGGTGTCATTAGTTACCTTAGTAGGGGACCAGTGGTGTCATTAGTTACCTTAGTAGGGGACCAGTGGTGTCATTAGTTACCTTAGTAGGGGACCAGTGGTGTCATTAGTTACCTTAGTAGGGGACCAGTGGTGTCATTAGTTACCTTAGTAGGGGACCAGTGGTGTCATTAGTTACCTTAGTAGGGGACCAGTGGTGTCATTAGTTACCTTAGTAGGGGACCAGTGGTGTCATTAGTTACCTTAGTAGGGGACCAGTGGTGTCATTAGTTACCTTAGTAGGGGACCAGTGGTGTCATTAGTTACCTTAGTAGGGGACCAGTGGTGTCATTAGTTACCTTAGTAGGGGACCAGTGGTGTCATTAGTTACCTTAGTAGGGGACCAGTGGTGTCATTAGTTACCTTAGTAGGGGACCAGTGGTGTCATTAGTTACCTTAGTAGGGGACCAGTGGTGTCATTAGTTACCTTAGTAGGGGACCAGTGGTGTCATTAGTTACCTTAGTAGGGGACCAGTGGTGTCATTAGTTACCTTAGTAGGGGACCAGTGGTGTCATTAGTTACCTTAGTAGGGGACCAGTGGTGTCATTAGTTACCTTAGTAGGGGACCAGTGGTGTCATTAGTTACCTTAGTAGGGGACCAGTGGTGTCATTAGTTACCTTAGTAGGGGACCAGTGGTGTCATTAGTTACCTTAGTAGGGGACCAGTGGTGTCATTAGTTACCTTAGTAGGGGACCAGTGGTGTCATTAGTTACCTTAGTAGGGGACCAGTGGTGTCATTAGTTACCTTAGTAGGGGACCAGTGGTGTCATTAGTTACCTTAGTAGGGGACCAGTGGTGTCATTAGTTACCTTAGTAGGGGACCAGTGGTGTCATTAGTTACCTTAGTAGGGGACCAGTGGTGTCATTAGTTACCTTAGTAGGGGACCAGTGGTGTCATTAGTTACCTTAGTAGGGGACCAGTGGTGTCATTAGTTACCTTAGTAGGGGACCAGTGGTGTCATTAGTTACCTTAGTAGGGGACCAGTGGTGTCATTAGTTACCTTAGTAGGGGACCAGTGGTGTCATTAGTTACCTTAGTAGGGGACCAGTGGTGTCATTAGTTACCTTAGTAGGGGACCAGTGGTGTCATTAGTTACCTTAGTAGGGGACCAGTGGTGTCATTAGTTACCTTAGTAGGGGACCAGTGGTGTCATTAGTTACCTTAGTAGGGGACCAGTGGTGTCATTAGTTACCTTAGTAGGGGACCAGTGGTGTCATTAGTTACCTTAGTAGGGGACCAGTGGTGTCATTAGTTACCTTAGTAGGGGACCAGTGGTGTCATTAGTTACCTTAGTAGGGGACCAGTGGTGTCATTAGTTACCTTAGTAGGGGACCAGTGGTGTCATTAGTTACCTTAGTAGGGGACCAGTGGTGTCATTAGTTACCTTAGTAGGGGACCAGTGGTGTCATTAGTTACCTTAGTAGGGGACCAGTGGTGTCATTAGTTACCTTAGTAGGGGACCAGTGGTGTCATTAGTTACCTTAGTAGGGGACCAGTGGTGTCATTAGTTACCTTAGTAGGGGACCAGTGGTGTCATTAGTTACCTTAGTAGGGGACCAGTGGTGTCATTAGTTACCTTAGTAGGGGACCAGTGGTGTCATTAGTTACCTTAGTAGGGGACCAGTGGTGTCATTAGTTACCTTAGTAGGGGACCAGTGGTGTCATTAGTTACCTTAGTAGGGGACCAGTGGTGTCATTAGTTACCTTAGTAGGGGACCAGTGGTGTCATTAGTTACCTTAGTAGGGGACCAGTGGTGTCATTAGTTACCTTAGTAGGGGACCAGTGGTGTCATTAGTTACCTTAGTAGGGGACCAGTGGTGTCATTAGTTACCTTAGTAGGGGACCAGTGGTGTCATTAGTTACCTTAGTAGGGGACCAGTGGTGTCATTAGTTACCTTAGTAGGGGACCAGTGGTGTCATTAGTTACCTTAGTAGGGGACCAGTGGTGTCATTAGTTACCTTAGTAGGGGACCAGTGGTGTCATTAGTTACCTTAGTAGGGGACCAGTGGTGTCATTAGTTACCTTAGTAGGGGACCAGTGGTGTCATTAGTTACCTTAGTAGGGGACCAGTGGTGTCATTAGTTACCTTAGTAGGGGACCAGTGGTGTCATTAGTTACCTTAGTAGGGGACCAGTGGTGTCATTAGTTAACTTAGTAGGGGACCAGTGGTGTCATTAGTTAACTTAGTACGGGACGAGTGATGTTGTTGATTCAGGGGGAACTGAACTAAGGACGATATCATGGATGGTTAAACGTAATGGACTAATGTTGTCCTCATTGTAGGGGCCATATGGCTACCGTCGTTTTTACTATAAGAAGGGACCGGTGTTTTGTGGCGATAGTATACCACACAATTGTACCAATTCTGTTAGCATAACATTCAGAAAGCGTGGAATGACGCATCATATTCCTGAAAAATCGGATAGACTAGTATTTTTTGTTTAATTTATATATCCACGTCTTCAGGTGAGATACCTTTGTACCCACGCCTTCAGGTGAGGGACCTTTGGACCCACGCCTTCAGGTGAGGGGCCTTTGTTCCCACGCCTTCAGGTGGGGGACCTTTGTGCCCACGCTTTCAGGTGAGGGACCTTTGTACCCTCGCCTTCAGGTGAGGGACCTTTGAACCCACGCCTTCAGGTGAGGGCCCTTTGTACCCGTGCCTTCAGGTGGGGACCCTTGGACCCACGCCTTCAGGTGGGGGACCTTTGTACCCACACCGTCAGGTGAGGGACCTTTGTACCCACGCCTTCAGGTGAGGGACCTTTGTACCCGTGCCTTCAGGTGGGGACCTTTGTACCCACGCCTTCAGGTGGGGACCTTTGTACCCACGCCTTCAGGTGAGGGACCTTTGTACCCACGTCTTCAGGTGAGGGACCTTTGTACCCACGTTTTCAGGTGAGGGACCTTTGTACCCACGCCTTCAGGTGAGGGACCTTTGGTCTCAAATATTCACAACCGGTTAACGTAGTCAGTTTCTGAGAAATCTTACCCAACAGATTCAGGACAAACCCACAGAAATGTACAACCCAATTTAAGATAGTTCTAACTTCAAAGCAACACTGAATTATGATTTAGGCATTTTGTTACCTGTAAACATCCAGATGATTTAAAGTGATGAGTAATATTAACGGGGTTTACCGACACTCGATAGTAATCGTCACGTGACAGAACGTCCTAGTATATGGCATGAGTATGTAGCCACTGTCTCCGATTAAGGTATCAACATGTAAATTGGTTTGCGAATTCTGCAGGTTGTAGCTGGTTATATTCCTCCTGGATAAGCACCAGGTCATACTTTTTTTCTGAACATAGAATACGAGAAACAAATTTACAGTAACAAGTTTTATTTCCAGAAACAAAAATTGTAAACTGCAGCAGATTTCAAAATTTGTCATAGTACAAAATAGACATGGACAAAACACTGATAATATCACAATATGGCATCTCATTGTTGCAAGAATTGATTCTTTTAACTATTCTATACACATTGTCATAGTATATCTAGAGAGAAAATAACATTAACATCCTATCACATGTAACTTTGTTTTAATGATAAAAACGTTCTTTAACTTAAAAGATTTGCATCATTCTCAAAGAGTTCAAAATGTTTGCTAATCTCTTCAAATGATTTAATATACACCGTCACAACAAGAAATGATTTATTAAATAAAGTATAACGATATAAACACGAACAATACACACACACACAACACAATACTCATTCAGACATTAGAGTGAGTTTAGGTGTTTGGAACCACACTATACATTATATAGCTACTTTTACAAGTGGTGTCGGAGTGTTATTTGATAACCATGAAATGCGTCAAAAAGTCATGCTACGAGGAAAACACATTCAACAAGTATGCAGGAATGTGTGTCAGTTAACCGATTAAACGCAGAAATGCAGCAGAAAATAGGAAACATGCAGGAATGTTAGTTTGTTATATGCAGTACAGCTTTAGAAAATGTTTAGTTCTTGGTTTGAGCAAATCCAACTTTGTTGTTTCCAAGATCGAATTCACTGTAAAATTTTCCAAGGAAAACGTCTCCAAGGATCCATAATGGTCCGAGAGGGGCAGGCACATCCAGACCAATAAACCCACTGAGGCAGATTGTTTGTCCTTGCTGGGTCACCTAACCAAGCAGAGCAAAACAGGAACAGCAGAGTTAGACAAAACTAAATCTATACACCAAATATTGTAGCATGCACTGGCTTGTAGAATCAGAAAAAAGGGGCAGTGTTTTTCGTCTGGTTCTTTTTTCGTGGAGAATTCTTAAGGAAACTTTGAGAAACATATCATACTCCACTTAAAATCAAATTATGACAAAGCATTCTTCATTAATTAAAACGGCAAAACGTGATTCTTTACAGAGAACCTACACCAAAAGAGGAAAGAAAGGTATACAAGATTAGTATTAGTACTGCCATCTACACCTGGAAGAAACACAAAACTCGTGCAGTAGTGCAGTATACACAGGATACACACAGGATACACAGGATACACACAGCAAGCAGGAAAATAAACACAAATTGGAGAGAAATGTAAAACCAGGCACCATATAACCAAAACACTGTCAGCTTAAACATAATTAGTGCACGTTTACTTGTTGATCAAAACATGAACTATTAAAATGCTGAAACTGATGATTGTATAAATAAAGCTTATCCTGTAAATGTGTCCCTTGATTTATGCAGAGATTAAAGTTTATCCTAATCTTCTCTAGTATGTATCAATGTACTTGATTGTACATGTCAGGGTTATCTAAACCCTGCGGTATCTTATCTACATCTGTAGAACTACAAGTATAAACCTAACACCTTGACTGACTACATATATTGCCTTGACATCACCTTCACTGTCCATGACATTCACCTTGATCCTGTTCCAATCTAAATGGATGATAAATGACAGATATCTGTTATCAGCCATGTCCACAAACAAATGTACCTTGGAGTGTGTCCACGTTCAGGTTGAAATACACTTCTAGCAGTAGCAATACCTGACTTTTAATGTGACAGATAATGAGAAAGACATAACTAGCACGACCAGTAATTATATCAACTTACTATATAACATAGATACATTCAAACAAACTTCCATAAATGTACGTAATATAGAAAGTACACTACAACAATCAGATCCACACTTCTGTACTCCTACAGCCTAGCACTGTTCAGAAAGTATATACCAATTTATATCAAATACAGGAACATTTATCACATCAGTATTTCAATAGTATTGTGATCTTGATATCTCTGTATAGAGATCAAACGAAGCCATCTCTAGGCTATTATGTTATCCTTGTTAAACAATCAGATTATCTAATATGAAGCCATCTCTAGGCTATTATGTTATCCTTGTTAAACAGTCAGATTATCTAATGTGAAGCATCTCTAGGCTATTATGTTATCCTTGTTAAACAATCAGATTATCTAATGTGAAGCCATCTCTAGGCAATTATGTTATCCTTGTTAAACAGTCAGATTATCTAATGTGAAGCCATCTCTAGGCTATTATGTTATCCTTGTTAAACAATCAGATCCTCTAATGTAAAGCACTTACAGTGATAAATAAAATGGTGTTTCAGATCTAGATAATTATGATGTGTATAAACTCACAAAAATTTGCCTATATCTTTTCACATCCAGTTAGACATGGATAACACTGACCTTTAAGAGTCCAAGGTTAAATTCATACAGACGTCCTATCTCTGTCTCACCGATTAAGTGTGTAAATATGTCACTAGTACACAGATTCTATGTCAATATATCAAAGTACAAAATGTACAAACAGTATCTAAGTCACGTAAGTAGTTAAGACAGATAAGAGGAGAGTAAATTTTGTTTCATGAATAAATGTTCATTATCATCACAAAATTGTGACTTGTTTTGTACAATTTCCAAACCCCTAAACTTTGTGGGGGCTAGCTGGTAGTCAGATTACCACAGAAATCTCACAGCTATGAGACCAGCATTATGTTGACAGAGACCCCTACACTTTGCAAGTGCTTTGAATTTAGACGTTGAGGGGGTTGCCAAACATTAACTGAAGCCAGCGACGAGTTTACAGCACCACTGGTTCTATCAACACAGCGTAGAAAATCTGAACATCCTACACTGGACAGGTGGTAACTTCTATCATTTGTTTTGGAAGATATATAAACAAAACCAAACATTAAAAAGCATTTCGTTTACACAGTGAGGACCAGTTTTAAAATTTTACAAGAGACATGTGAGGATCATTTTTCAAATTTTACAGGAGACATATTGTACCATGTCTTTAGTTTATAGGCAAACCCATGTTGGCTACAGTAGGGAATAAGGAGGGATGTGCAATCTTAGTATCTAGGTATGTTCCAGTTGTGGACATTCTTTTCCCTCCAACGGTAATCGGGATCTCTGAAATCAAAACCTTCTGATCTACTGCTGTTTATGGTCTTCGCAAATCCAACTCTATTGTTGACCAAGTCAAACTCGGAGTAGAACCTGCCAAGGAAGATGTCCCCCAGAATCCACAGAGGTCCCATAGGAGCTGGGACATCCAGCCCTATAAACCCACTGAGACAAATGTTGTAACCCTCCGCTGATACCTGTAATAAGGAAATACTTAAATGACACAAAAGGAAAATGGAAGTTAAGCAAGTAATCTGTAACAGGGAGTGCTACAAATGTACCCAAAAGTATCCCCGCAGTCACAAGGTATTCAAACCCAAAAAGGACCTGTCTAACTGGCTTACATCTATCTTACTGGCTGACATCTATCTAACTGGCTTACATCTATCTAATTACTGGCTTACATCTATCTAATTACTGGCTTACATCTATCTTACTGGCTTACATCTACCTTACTGGCTAACATTTATCTTACTGGCTTACATCTACCAGCCAGAGGCTACCACATCTATCTTGAATCCTGCAACTTTTAAGTTTCTTGATATAAACCATTACCCCATGTATACTTTATATAAAACATCCCCCTATGTATACTTGATATAAAACATTCCACTATGTGTACTTGATATAAAACATTGCCCCATGTATACCTGATATAAAACATCCCTCTATGTATACTTGATATAAAACATTACCCCATGTATACTTGATATAAAACATTCCTCTATGTATACTTGATATAAAACATTGCCCCATGTATACTTGATATAAAAAATTCCCCCATGTATACTTGATATAAAACATTCCCCCGTGTATACTTGATATAAAACATCCCTCTATGTATACTTGATATAAAACATTCCTCTATATATACTTGATATAAAACATTCCCCTATGTGTACTTGATATAAAACATTCCTTTAAGTGTACTTGATATAAAACATTCCTTTATGTGTACTTGATATAAAACATTCCTTTTTGTGTACTTGATATTAAACATTCCCCCATGTATACTTGATATAAAACATTCCCCCGTGTATACTTGATATAAAACATCCCTCTATGTATACTTGATATAAAACATTCCTCTATATATACTTGATATAAAACATTCCCCTATGTGTACTTGATATAAAACATTCCTTTAAGTGTACTTGATATAAAACATTCCTTTATGTGTACTTGATATAAAACATTCCTTTTTGTGTACTTGATATTAAACATTCCCCCATGTATACTTGATATAAAACATTCCCCCGTGTATACTTGATATAAAACATCCCTCTATGTATACTTGATATAAAACATTCCTCTATATATACTTGATATAAAACATTCCCCTATGTGTACTTGATATAAAACATTCCTTTAAGTGTACTTGATATAAAACATTCCTTTATGTGTACTTGATATAAAACATTCCTTTTTGTGTACTTGATATTAAACATTCCCCTATGTATACTTGATATAAAACATTACCCTATGTATACTTGATATAAAACATTCCTCTATGTATATTTGATATAAAACATTCCTTTATGTGTACTTGATATAAAACATTCCCCTGTGTGTAATTGATATAAAACATTCCCCTATGTGTACTTGATATAAAACATTCCTTTATGTATACTTGATATAACATTCTCCTATGTATACTTGATATAAAACATTCCTTTATGTGTACTTGATATAAAACATTCCTCTATGTATACTTGATATAAAACATTCCCCTATGTGTACTTGATATAAAACATTCCTTTATGTATACTTGATATAACATTCTCCTATGTATACTTGATATAAAACATTCCTTTATGTATTCTTGATATAAAACATTCCCCTATGTATACTTGATATAAAGCACTCCTCTATGTATCCTTGATATAAAACATTCCTCTATGTATACTTGATATAAAACATTCCTTTATGTGTACTTGATATAAACCATTCCTTTATGTATACTTGATATAAAACATTCCCCTATGTATACTTAATATAAAACATTCCTTTATGTGTACTTGATATAAAACATTCCCCTGTGGGTAATTGATATAAAACATTCCCCTATGTGTTCTTGATATAAAACATTCCTTTATGTATACTTGATATAAAACATTCCTCTATGTATATTTGATATAAAACATTCCTTTATGTGTACTTGATATAAAACATTCCTCTATGTATACTTGATATAAAGCATTCCTCTATGTGTACTTGATATAAAATATTCCTCTATGTATACTTGATATAAAACATTCCCCTATGTGTACTTGATATAAAACATTCCCCTATGTATACTTGATATAAAAAATTCCTCTATGTATACTTGATATAAAACATTCCCCTATGTATACTTGATATGAAACATTCCCCTATGTATACTTGATATAAAACATTCCTCTATATATACTTGATATAAAACATTCCTCTATGTATCAACAGAGTACAAAGAAATTTGACCAAATAGAATTGACTTGTAACTATTACTGTTCCAGCAGATCAGAGGCCTCAGCAGCAATCTTGAATCTGAAAACTTTAATGTTGGTAGTTTGACAAATTTAGTCTGCTGATGCAACTCCCAAAAAGTGTGGAGACGATTGGTCCAGCAGAACTTGAGTTATAACCATTTTGTTTCAGCCAATCTGATGTCAAGGTTGCAAACTCCCAATCGCTTAATTTAAAGTTGGTAATTTAAAAGGGAGTATTACCCTGAATTTTTCATTCCCACATAGTGCTAACAACGTCATCTCACTAGAGCACCAGTCAAACTAGTAAATTTGTCTTGACCAATCACAGGTCAGTGTGTCGTGGCCATCCAAGGATAACGTTGATTTTGTTCCTCACATGTGGCCCCCTTCTATTGTTGCACACTAGGGCCTAGTATAGTGATTCTATTACAGTGATTCCTTATGTTAGGGTTTCATCAAAGAATAAAAATTATAAAGAATAATAACATTTATCAAGTCACACCAGATACAGTGGTATCTTAATTACCTTGAGGATGTAGTCGGAGCCCTGCAGGGTGAACTGCTGGTTGTCGATCATGAAGGAGATTGGTGGAAGACTTGATATCTTGTCGCAGTCGATGGTGTACTGAAAAACAAAACTCACCCATATCACACAGATCTTAGGACAGCTGTTTGAATGCATACCTTGCAATCTACCTGTTTTTACTTTTACAATAAATGCTTTCCTTGTATTTCTACTTTTATTACTAATATATTGGTGCAATGTTTCACAGCAGTACACCATTAGTTCTTAAACAGCCAATCATTTTAAACTACAACCAAATTTGCACAATCAAGATTTTTTTGGTTAATGGACAAATAGACAAATAAAACGTTACTTGTACCAACTTATTGTAATCTCTCTACAGCTGCATCTCAAGCCTATCATTGTCCAATAAAGGTAGTTACCTCTCCTCCAACAAATGGGGTGGCGCCAATTTGAGTGTTGAGTTTCGTGATCTCTGATGAGGGGCCTGCCAAAAGGGAGGTTCCTGTGTCAGCGATGGCACTGCAGCCTCCATTACAATATGGTGATGCCTTTCCGCCTACCTGAATACTGGGGAGACAACAACAAATGAATGCAACAATTCTTACTCTTTGTGAATAGGGAACTTCCTGCTTACTGGAGAGCTGGGGAACAATATGTAAACTATTCAAAGGAGGTATTGTGTTTGGAAGAAAGAAAACTTTTTACCTCTTTATCTGTAGAAAGGTTATACAGCACAACCAGGTCAGTGTTTTTGCGTGACATTTTGATGACTAGTATTGTATGTACTCTGTCACCTTCATCAGACAAATGACCAGTGAAGTGTACATATGTTACAACGGTCCTTTGTCTGATGAAGTTCATATGGTACTAGTCATGGAAACGTCACACATTAACACTCAACTGGTTTTAACTGGTTGTAGTCATGGAAACGTCACACATTAACACTCAACTGGTTTTAACTGGTTGTAGTCATGGAAACGTCACACATTAACACTCAACTGGTTTTAACTGGTTGTAGTCATGGAAACGTCACACATTAACACTCAACTGGTTTTAACTGGTTGTAGTCATGGAAACGTCA